CACTCTTCAAGATTCTTTGGAGAAAGAGAGAGATGTGTAGAATGGGGCTAACACGGGAGGAAAACGCAGAGGAAGTGGAAGCATCGAAGGTGGAAACGCATCAAAAACAATGTCCCTTGTGGGGGAAAATGTCAAGTTGGGAAAAGAGGAAAAAAAACAACCAAAATAACAAACAAACAAACATCTCGTGTGGCAAAGAAGTAACAGATTTTACAGATTGCGGCAATTTAAGGGAATTATGTATGGTTGCATGTGTCTTTGAGTGTTTTACTTCGAGTGTTTGCGTGTATAATACTTGACATAATTAGCTGTTATTAAAAAGAAATTGGGGGGACCGAAGGTTCTCCAATTAAATAATCATTTCGGTTCCGTTCTTTCGGTTCTCTGCATTGGAAAGGGTTAGAGGGAGATGCAAAACATGTCACCGTTGCATTTCCATGAAGCTTGTAAAGGGTTAGAGTGGGATGGGTACAATGGGATTTAATCGTAAGATCAGTTATTTGGATGTGATTTTCTATTGGAAGAGGAAGTATTTAAGTTTGGATTAGGCTGAAATCTAGATGGGATGTTGGTTAATTATTAATTTTATTATTAACAACTGATCTTAGAATGTAAAAATGCTTTGCAATTAAATTTTTTTTTCAACAATTTTGATCTATATCAAACAGATCCCCTTAAAATAAAAGTTTTTATTAATATATCGATGAAATTTCGGTAGAAATATGCCAAATAGAATACGTTTCTACCCAGTAATTTGCTCGATCCCCAATCTATCTGTATCTTGAACTGATCATCGCACTGAAAAGCTTCCGCCTTGAAATGCGTGGCGCCTAGAAGAGCTTCGAAAAGTGCGTGCTCCAAAAGCTCCAAAACTCTGACCCTCTCGTTCGCTCTCATTTCGTAGGCCTGAAACCAATTTTAGACTTCCTCGTTTTGTTGTTGGATTTGCAATGGAGCTTTTTTGATTTCATGATTTTTTTTTGGGTTGGCTGGCTATAGTATAGTATAGCCTGATATTTATTGCGCGTGAATGTCATTTGTGAAGCGGGAAAAGCTCGACGAACTGCAAAAGTTTAGATGTATTGGGGCCTCGTTTCAATTGTGTGCGTATACGCACATTTTTAATTATGTTGTGCCAGCTCAAGGTTTTTTCTATCGCTGCTGCTGTTTTATTTCGGTTTTTTTGTTCGTAGTTTTATTTTTGTTGCTGTGCAGGCTGCCCCTTACGCACTTTGAGCCAATTTAATTGTAGGCCACGCCATATTTTTCGTTTTAGTTTTTTTTTTTGGATGCGACTTGTGAATTTTTTTTGCGTTGCGTTCGCATAGGGAGCAAAAGAGATGGGTAGCATTGAGGAAAAGAGATGGCAATGGCACTCCTATGTGTACATAGGCCTATGTGTTTATTTCTTTGGTTGCTCTGGTACATAGCACAAACTTTTTTGTTGTTTAATTTTAACTAAACATTTTTTTTTGTATTTTATTTATTTGTTGCGCCCTTCTGCAAGTTTCTCTGAGTGTGTGTGCGTTCGTTTTTTATGCGCTCTCATTCTGTTTTTGGGAATTATCAGCATTCGGTTCTGGGTTGTGATGTAATAGCTTCGAAATTGACATTTTTGTTTGCTCATTTGGTCTGCCTGCAATTTTGTTTCCTTTTTAAGCGTTGACTTTTTAAGATTACATTTTTATTTGGAATTTGTATTGGATTAGTCAGATTATTTAATATTCAAGGAATTCGAAATATAATTTCTGGGAATCTTGGAATAATTATTAATTTCCTGGCAGTTTTTAAAAAAATTAAGTCATATTCTAACTAAAAATGTACAATTTTTTACAAGTTATAAGAATTAAGCGAACTCATATTTCAACTATCTAGCAATATTGGTTTTTTAATAAAAGTCCTCTTGCTTTATGTTTCATCCATGTCATACATATATGCCATTTTTTACTACACTCCCACACACTCAAAAAATGGCAATGAAACTTTACACATTCCAACTGTTCAATGCAGATAAACCAAAGCTCAGTAAAAAAAGATGGAAACAGAGGGAGATAGAAATGCGTTTTCTATTTGTGCAAACTATTGCGGCGGCCATATTCGCACACAGATACGGACACACACACATACGAATGTAGATAACACCCACACAAAGACGTTGCTTGCATGCAAAAGTTTCGTTTTTTATTGCGAATGTGCAGATGTGTGTGAGTGTGCGTGTGGCGAAGTGGAGCAAAAGGCAACTGGCAATTAGCAACTGGGGAATGGCCAGAAAAAACCTCACAAAACTAGCGAAAAACGGTAGAAAAAACACGAATTGAGTTTGCCAAACCCCAATAAACATTGCACATACAGCAGCGTTCAAAATATTAGTTTCACTACCCAAGGAAATATCAGTTTTTAGGATCACTTTCATAGATTTTATAATATTTCTATAGATCACTTTTTGTACTTTATTATTATTATTAATAATTCTTTTCGTTCTTAATTGTCAATAATTTAAAAAAGAAATTATGACATAGTTTTATTATGATTTTAAAAAAGAGTATAAATCATCAGTTTTTCTCTTTTAGTATCTTTGAATGCACTTAAATAAACGCAAATACTTTCAGGATAGCTTATATTAAAATTTTCATGTGGATTAAATCATTTTCTTTTTTATGCTAAAAAAAAGTTTATTAACCGCTACTGTAGTTCCCTTAAAAAGTATAAGCTTCCCCACTATCTCGTTCGTTTTTTAGATAGGCCTATGCTCTCTCTCTCTCAATGAATAGTAAGCATTTAAGTGCCATGGAAGCGAAAAAGAAAAAAATTGTCGCTTTGACTGACAGTGACAGGTTTGCCAGACTGCCACGCCTTCTTTGCCCCTTCAACCAGTTTACAGCCTTACCTTCTGGCACATTTTGCAGCCAAGTAATACCTTGCTCACTTTTTTTTTGATAAGCCATAATTAGCAGTTCATAAAAGCGATTATTTCATATGAATTTTTATGGTCAAGTCTCGTGCAAGTTTCATTATTTTTCCTCTATATTTTTTAAGTCTTTGGCAGCCCTTGAAAGGGAAGAGCGTGTCATGATCTTAATGATTCATAAAAAAGATTAAGATAGGAATTTTTTGAAGTTCCAGAACTAAAAACTTAAAGATATCAATTATTTTTTTTGGCATGAAATAAAAAATCATAACTTTTTTTGTTGGAACAAAATCGTTTTTATATGCTTTGAAAATGGTATAATTAATTCATTTTCTTTCTTGGATTAACGTTTTGGGTGGCTGGACTTGCATTTCGGCTTCTAAAAAGTATAAAAAATGCACTTTGGACATCTTAATTGACCGCCTTCTCCCATTTTTTTTTGGAACCCCTAAGGAGACAACTGTAATAACAATCAGGCAACTGACAATTTCTTGCAACGCAGTTGCTCTGTTTCGCTTTCTTGGTAATCGTTCGCATTAAAATTCAAGCAACTGCAGTGGCAAGTCATAAAAATTAAACAATTTGAGGAAAAAAGAGAACCGAAATGCGTTCGCCTTTGAAGGAAATTGGAGTGGTTATTGCGGGGGGCTAAGAGCATATCATAGACACTTTGCGCAAGTGCCGACAACAACAGCAAATAAAAGAAGAAAATAATGAAGTCGGTTGCATTGCGTCAGTTACAACACGGCCAAAAGAAGAAGAAGAGGAAAAGGGGGAGAAGCCGCGCAGTCTGCTCCAAAGACAAGTTTATTCTTAGAAAAAACTTAACGATTGTGCAAATGCACGTAAGAAGGCAAGGAAAATGGGAAAGAGCGGGACACATCACCGCACTTCCGTCAAGGGAAAATGCAGCAGACGAAAAACTAAAACAAAAAGTTCAGAAAAACGTTGTACAGTTAAACAAATTTTTCTCATTTGTGATAACGGATTAGTTATTACTTTTTTCCATACAAAATAGCTATATTGATTAATACTACAATGCAGTATTTTCCATTTTACAGTTTTATTGATAAAAATATTAAAACAAATAAGATATTCAAGCAATATTAAGATATTTACATTGAAAGATACAGTTTTTAATTTTTTCTGACTTTATTAAAAATATTTAAAATAGATTTTGAAGCTTTAAAATATTATTAATTTTTTCTCCTTTTTAAATTTGTAAATAATTTTTTTTTAGTTATTTGTGGATTTAGAAAAGTAATAGACGTTCAAAAAAAATCATAAAAACTATTTTCCGTGTAAAAGCTTGAAACAAAAAAATAGAGAAAAACTGTTGTGCATTTAATTAAATGCGGAAGACCCCCAGAGCAACAAAAGCAGCGAAAAAAACCGAAACTACAATTTCAAGCGCACGCAATGCCTGACCAAGCGATACAAGTGCGAGCGAGACGGGGCGAGGGCGAGAGCGAGAAGGGGCGAGCGGTACAAAAAAGTACACAACGCACAAAATTTGGAACACGCTGCGTTTGCTAAGTAGGTCAAAGTGGCAGCGGCGCCGGCAGCGCAGTCAAAAAAATATATATATTGCGTGTCAACTGCGACGCATTATTTTTTTTTTGTGCAGCGGCAAGAAGCAGAAATAATATATTTTTAATTTATGCACAACCCCAAAAAAGTATCTACACCCCTTTGAAATGCGAGTGTGTCTGTATGTATCTACACATGTAGAAATGTCAAGCAAGCAACTTTTGCTTTTTTTTCTCGCTATTAATATGCAACGCCAAGTTTTGAGTGTCATAAATCATACGCAAAGTGCGTAGACAATTTTTTCTCTTGACCAAAAAATGTTTTCCTCCTTTTTTGTTATTTTTTGAATAAATTATAAGTGTAATTAGAGGCGGAGTTAATTTTTTCCGAGCTGTAATTGTTTGCAAATGTTTGTGGACACTTTCTAAAACAACATTTTTTCTTTTTACGCACTTTTTCGTGGGGAAACTTTGGGTAGTCATTACTTAAGATATGCAGAAAGTGGTATTTAAAATTACCCTATAAAATTATTGAAACATTTTATTAAAATGATTAAACTCACCTTAATATTCAATTGCAAATTTTCGCATTAATCCAAATCCAGAATCTTTAGTTGTAAACCTTTTCACAAATGTTAATTTTGAATTTATCAGTTTTTCTTTTCAGTATTTTTATCTCACTTGCACTTTTTGCACACTTGGACCAAAACGTTTATGTTCTTTAATTATTTAATTAATTATTTAAGTATATACTCGATTTGTTTTTATCAAAAATTGTTTACCAAATATTCTCCGATATAATTTGTAAGCATAGATATATGTATAGGTATATATATATTTTATAAATACATGTATTACGATTACTTTTGTTAAATATTTTTGCTTTGCTTTTTTATCGAAACGAAATTTTTATGCAAACTAACACACACGTTTTATCTGCTGCTGCTGCTTTTGTTGCTGTTGCTTTTACTGTAGTGATCACTGTAGTAGTTGCTATGGCTGCTGTTGATGTTGCTGTTGTTGTTGTGTTGCTGTGTTTAGTATTGCGTATGTCCGAACCAATAATTTTGAAGAGTTTACCAATTTGGTGGCTTAAATTTTTGCGGTTTTTTGCGTTTGTTCTAAAAAGATTTCCCTCGGCTTTTCAACTGATTTTGGGCTGGTTTTTGTTTGCTGACGGTTTTGGTTTTCCTTTTTGTTGATTTTAAAATTTACATTGATTTAGTTAATCATGTTAGATGCAAAACATTTTCACGTGTGGACGTTTTGAGATAATTTAATTGTATATTATTTGATGTTTTGTTGCACGCAGCTATGCCAAAAATCGTTTTTTGTTGATTTATTTTGAATTTGATTTAAGACCAAAAGTTATGTTGCCAATTTTTGAATTTTGCGTTGTTTTTCGAAAATGTTTTTGTTTCAGTTCATTTTTAAATTGAGTTTTTATAATTTCGCGAAATTATTTTCAATTTAATTGATTTTTTTTGTATTATTTAGATAGTTAAATGTTCAAAATGAGTTGCTTGATTCGCATTTTGCTGCATTCGCCGGTTTTGTTGTGGTCGTTGAATGTTTTTCTTGATGTTGCTAAAATTGGCTCGTTGCGACATTTTCACAGTGACATTTGGCTGCAAATATAAATATTAGAATAAATTATTAGAAAATGTGAGTAGAATTTGGAAAAGTGTCACAAAAATATTAATTCAAATCAGATTCAGGGTTTTGGATTTTTGTTTAAAATATGCATGTATGTGTGTTATATTTTTGACATACTCATAAAAATCTTAGATTCGACTTTGAAAAAAAAAAACCCATTTGTCACAATTTTTCTGAAGAAATGTAATTTACTTAAGAATTTCCGAATTTCTACGTTTTTCCCAAAAGTGTGTGCCCATGACATAAATTCCTTATCAGTGCGACTCGTAAAGTGAATTGGGATAAATGGTTTTATTATCGCAGCATATATTTCATTTTCTCGTTTTCAGATTTTAATTCCCACTTGGCTTCTGGCAAATGTCTTTTATGCCACGGGCTACCCGAAAACACTTTAGGGGCTGTCCATATATTACGTAATCACGTTTTTGCTGATTTTTGAGCCCCTCCCCCCCTTGGTGATCAAACGTAATCTTTCAATAAATACCCCCCCCCCAATGATTACGTAATCCCAAGAATAAAATTTTTTTTGTTTTAATATGTGTTTATTAATGGAGTTTGGTATGACACATTCGGTTCGTGTACGCTGAAATTATCTCCAACATACTCTTCGTCAAGCCATTCCAGGTCTTCGCATTCTTCGTGTGATTGAACCACTAAACATTCTCTTTCTCGCCGCCCAGCCACTAAAAAAAATTTTTCTCTGCTTTCCTATCTAAGTTTGCAGATATATTTAAAGAAAAAAAGTTTTTAAAAAAATTCTTTAAATAAAAAAATACATATAAAATGATTACGTAATCATTGTGCAAGACCCCCCCTCCCTATGTAATCAAACATAATCATTTCAATGACCCCCTCCCCCCCCCTAGGTGATTACGTAATATATGGACAGCCCCTTATTTGGGGCACGGGGGACATGCGTGCACAAATCGGTGAAGAAACAGGCCCAATATCGGTGGTAAATTTTATATTTCTAATCTTTGGAGCCTTTCTGGTTTGTGTTTGAAATTATTATGAGTTCTTTTAACATATGATAACTTTTTCATAATTTTAAAAGATCCACAAGTTATTTTTTTTTGTAATTTTTTCACACTTTTTCAGTTTTTTTAGGAACTTTCCAACACTTGCATCGTAGTTCATAGTTTTTCTACACTTTTTCCTAGCTTTTGAGCAAGTGTCCTGGGGATTAATTGCATTTTTTCTTTCCTCCTTGCACTTCTTGCACTTTCCTTCATTCTCCCTTAATTGCTCTTTCTCCTTTACACACTCACACACACAGACAGATTCGAACACACAGTGCAAAAAAGGGGTTCAGTTCACTGGGATTGCGCCTTGTTTATTTTCAGGGGGAGGCGGAAAACGGGGAGGGTTGTTTATTGTTCCATGTTCTCCTTGCTGTTCCTGTTGTTGTTGTTGCTATTGCTTTTGCTTATTTTTCTATTGTTGTTGCTTGATTAAAAATGCAGACGTTTTCGTTATGCATAAAAGTTTTTACTTCACTTTTTCCCAGTTTGCTTTTGCGTTTTGTGCTTCTTTTTTAAAATTCGAGTTGCAAACGCACACACACACACAGCCCTAAATTTTCAAGAGTGTATTTGTAAATCAAGTACACACGCACAATTGTTAGAGTTCTGGTTGAGAAATTGCAATTGTTCTTTGGGATACTTTTAATTTTTCAAAATATTTGAATTTTTTACTCAAAATTACCTTTTAATCACTGGTTGAAAAAACCGTTTTGCAACACTCACGACGCACAAACACACTGAAATTAACGCACACACATGCACTCTGGACAGTTATTTTTTGTGCATTTGCTCGACGAAACACAAACAAAACGTAAATAATAATTAAAAAGTTTTCAATGCCGCAAACTTTTTGCACTTTTCCGCTTTTTGCACTTTATCCGCTGCAGTTTTTCCAATATGAAAATATATATGGGAGAATTACTGTTTTCCTTTTGTTTTCAAGCGGTTTCGTATTTTTGTTTTTTTTTAACTTTTCGTATTTGAATTTATAAAAATTTGAGTTTAGTCGTAGTTTCCTGGGCTGATTTTCTGTGGTTTCTGCTGCACGAGAGACGAGAGGCGAATGCGAATATGCGAATGCGAATGCACACAAAACGCTGCTGCTGCTTCGAGCTGCGAGCTCACCGAAACCTAGGGCCGAATAGACGAGTGCTGTGTTCCAAAATTTCGTTTATGGCCTATCAGCCGGCGGACTGCGGCGGCGGCTGCGACGTCGACCGCGGCAGAGTGTGGAGCCACCACCAACACATGCAAGGGCAAAAGCAAAGCAACAGTCGGCGAGCGAAAAGAGAGCGAGCGTGCAAACGCAGCAAAGCGCAGCTCTGCACAGTGGGGCAAAAGCAATTTAAAAAAAAATTCAAAGAAAATTAAAAAAAATGTAAAGAATTAATTAATTTTGTAAATAATAGTTCTTTGTTACTAAAAAGTAACAACTGTAATTACTATAAATAGTGAGCCTGGTTTTGAAAAGCAACCTAATAGTGTAAGTCTAAAATATTTCTAAAATATTTGCTTTCTTTTCAAAGAATAAAGCGTATGTTACTACTATGTTAGTATAGAATAGAGTCTTATTGGGAGGTGTCACAGAAATCCCTTCCAACCAAATTTCCCATCAAAAGCAAATCTCGGTGTCACAGAAACCGTTTGAAAATCAAGTACACGATTTTAAACCAGCGGTCGGCAGCGTCCTATTAAGTCAGCATAGGAAATTGTTCTGCTCATCCCCTGCCTCTCACGTACACTGTAGAACAGCGGTCTGCGCACACACACTGTTAAGCTGCCCCGTACAATTTACTCACACAAATATAAAACAAAATGTAATTGTATGAGTTTGCCGACCGCTGTTTTAAACCAACCGAATAGTAGGCCTTGAAGCAAATGTTCCTAAATCCAAAGCAAATTAACTTCGAAACTCCTAGAAAACACTACAGATTCTGTGACACCAACGGTTTTGATGGTTTGGTTTCCAAACCAACTCTCCCCAAATCCGTCGCCGGTTTCTGTGTCATCCCTGATAGGGAATTTTAGACATAGTTCTTAAACTTGACTAATTAATACATAATTCATTAAACAATGTATTAAAAGTATGCACTAAGCATTTACGGTTTTTTTTTAATATATATATTTTTGTCATGAAAATATATAGCGATAGAGAGTAGACTATTTTCTAATCTCAAAAGTTCAAAACATTTAAAATGATTAAACATTTTTTCATGTTTAATTTTTTGTCCCACTGTGCTGGCGTCGCAGTCGCAGTCGCTGGTAGCAGCGCAGCGGACCAAACAAGTTTCGGCTGCGTGCTTTTGCTTTTTGAATTGAATCTCGCGTTGTGAAGGAAGAAATGCGAGCGGAGACTTTTGGTTTGGTTTTTTTGCTTTTCGCTGCTGCTGAGAGTGCGCCCATTTTGCATTGGTTCGCCGTCGCCCCCGCCGCATAAGAGTGTGCGTGTGTGTGTGTGTGCTTTTGTTTTTGCTTTGCTTGCCCCATTGCAAATGCAAAAGTTTTGCACTGGTGTGGGGCAGAGAGAGGGAGAGAAAGAGCGGCGCTCTCTCGCTCTCCCAAAGAGAGACAACCACTTGCGGTTCTTGCTTCTTTTCGCTATTAATCCAATTGGAATGCAGGCGAGAGCAACTTGCAATTGTCAAATTGAAGATTTCCAATAAGGATACTTTTATGTGGATGAAATAATATTGTAAAAAATGATTTTATTTATTTTTCATAATTTTTTTGTATAATATTTACTTTGTTTTATAAGGAATAAGTAGCCGTTGCAATGCCTTTTGCATGTCTTTTTCTGTGTGTATGCACTGCCGCCCCAGGATAAAAATTACATATATCCTTTTAATCCGGGGGTGAGTTTCTCTCACCCTTTCCCTCTCTCTCTCTGGCTCTTTTGCTCTCTTCTGCAGGCGCAATTGCATAAGGCAAAGGACATGAGGTAATTTTGAGGAGCTCCGCTCAAGTGGAAAATGTTTAGGGAAATCTCGCCCAGAAATAGCAAAAGCAAACCTAAACTTGGTCTTAACCTATTCGAACAGCAGGAGATCTCCACCCAGGTGGTCTCTAAATAGTAGATGCAATAGCAATAGGGTTTCCATGAGGTGATTTTACATACAATAGGAAAACCACTTTAAGATCGACATAAATGGGAAATAGGAATTCAAAATAAATTGGTTTTCGTTTATCTGCCGTATGTTGAAAAATCCCTGAATTAGATAGAAAACGTAAGAAACTAAATTTTACAATAGGACAATTCTAATTTTCTTTGCCTGTCCTTACAATGCACTTCTAATTTTCTAAAAAAAATAATAATTTGCATATCCCATAAGAACTTTTCAATCAAACTATTCATATCCGAACAAAAACCCTCAAAATACCCGACAATTTTCACCCAAAAAACTTCCCCTATTCCCACAAGTGTCACTATCCCTTTTTTGAATGCATTTCCCATCAAAAATATCAAATTCCTGCACAATCGAAACAATTAAAATTTAATTTCAATGGACAAAAAGAGTTGAAAAAGCGGAAAAACTATTCTTTTAATTAATTAAAAGTTGATTCTTTACTGCCGGCAAAGACAGAAAGACAATAAAGGCAAAGTAAAATTGGGAAACCACACATAGCAAAATACATAACTTTTATATGGAAATAACTGAAATGCTAGGAGCTTCATTTTATGTTATATTTTTAAATTTACAATTTGTATTAAAAGCAAAAGTAAACTAAGAATTAAAGATTTAGACGGATTTTTAGCTTTGAGGCTGTTCAGCATGCATAATGAAATGTATCATAATATTTACAAGTTTTTTTTCAGTGCAGCTTGCCAAAAACAATAACAATGCGCATTCGTTTTGCAGTGAGAAAAAGAGAGAAAGAGAGCTAAGCTTTTTGCGCCAGCGGCAGAACTTCCCCTTCCATCAGAAAGAAACCGTAGGAATGGAGAGCGCATGTCGTTCTCTCTCGCTCTCACTCTCTGGGAGAGCGGCTGCTGCTGCCATTTTATGCACACACAACACAATGACAATTAAAGCTTGTTGGGTTGGCGAGGGGGGTGGGGTGTGGTGGGGGGCCACCGAAAAATTTACGCAATTCAAGAAACACGTGGAGTGCCGACTGCGCTGCCGGCGTCGCTGCCTTTATGCTGCTGCCCAAAAAATCCAATAGGCAACGGCAAAGGCAAAGAGCTTTTGCTTTTGCTGTTGTCTTTGCCTTTGCCTCAGCCACCGCACACCAATGCAACGCCTATGTGCATGCACGCATGTGTGTGTGAGAGTGCGTGTATTGCGTATTTTTGGCAGCATTCAATGGCCGCTCTGCCGACGCCGACAGCGACGCCGGCAGCGACGCATGGCGCAGGGACGGAATTCCGATTGCAGGGCAATTAATATCAAAATTGATTGCGGAGCGGATTCAAAGCCGCGGGCGTCCATTAAATTAATTACCAACATGAAGTTCTCGAGAGAAGTTTTAGGTGCACAGTTGGTTTTTAAGAAAGCTTAGGACTTGGTTTACTTTTCTTAGATAATCCTTTTTCAGTTTGTGAAAGTGATTTGAACACAAAATTGCCATTGCTGTGATGGGGCTATCAGTTTTAACTACCAATTCTTTATTACATTAAAAACATAATTTTAAAAAATTTTAAGGAAGAGACTAAGTTTATTAAAGAAAAGATTATTTTGGAAAAATTGTTAAAAAACTATTTTTATGAAATACTAACACGATCCTGATCTAATCTAGGTTCTTGATAGTTTTTTTTTTTTTGCAAATTTTTCATTTAAATGCAAATTAAAGTTGAGATATTTATTAGAAACACCCACTGTTTAGCTTAAGCCCAAAACTCTTCCCCTTAGCAAAAATGTACTGCATTCTTTCCGTGGGGCGCCATTCAGACCACCCCCACCCCCTAAATCCACCCCTGGGCATCCGCCTCGTTTGTTGTTGTTGCTTTCTCTCCGTTTTGCTCTCCTTTTGCTTTTGCAGTACTGCACGCACTTTTTGGGCCTATCTCTCCCCCATTCCCTTCGTCATTCAACTTTTTGCTTAGCTACACAACTTTTTGTTCGGTACACAGAAAAATATATTTACTATTATTAAAAATTAAGAATTTTATGGTTTTTAAATATTTAAATTTGTTTAAAACATTTTAAAAGGCTTTTACAGAAATAAGAAAAGCTTTTAGAATGCAATCTTCGCCTTGATTTGTTTTAAAATAAAGTTTGTTTTGTTTTCTGTGCATTTTTGGGGGGTGGGGGATGGAAGGGGGTGTTGTGGGAGGTGGTTGACGGGCGGTGGGAGTGGGTGGTTGTGCGTTATATGCTCCACTTTTTGGGCCTGCGACCACAGCCCCAAAATTCTGTTTTCGAACGCACTTTTGCAGCTTGCGTTTGTATGCTTTTGTATACGCACACACACAATCGCACCGTATCTGTGTGTTTGTGTGTGTGGGGCGCGTGCGTTGTGATTGTGTGGGTGTTTGCATTGGTGTGCGCGCATTTTTGGGTGTGCGTTTTTTGGTATTTCGTGAAATTTTAGCATTTATTTGTTATGTACTCAAACTGACGTCGCTGCAAAGTTGCTTTTGCTTTTGCTGCTGCTGCTGCGCTGCTTTTGCCTCCTTTTCTCCCTCTCCCTCTCTCTCTCTCTCCATCCCTCTCTTTCTAAAACGCTTGGCCTGTATGCGTGAGTGCGTAGGCTCGCCTATGTACACTATTTGGCAATTACATTCGTCTATATATAAATATATACACTTGCACGGCTATATTTGTTTGTTTGTGTATTTTGTACAGTGGCTCCATCGCATAATCGGACACCTACTTTCATAAAATAAACATGCAAAAAAAATTAATAAAATGGTTTAAATTCGTCGTTTTTTTTGCTTTTACTTATACATAATGCTAATATCTTCCAAAAACATAAACAAGAATTACATATTTTCCACGAAAACACTTAGTTTTCCAAC